ATGCAGTTCACAGAAGCTTGTAAAAGTGTGTGCCATAGAACTTGCTATACTATTGTAGTGGATCCTTCTCAGTCTTGCACACTAGTTTTGAGTTCTCTAAAGTGAGGAACTTCTGATTAATCTATTTCCAGTGTGAATGTAGTACCTAACACACAGAAGAAACTCTGGTGTTTACTTAATGCATCTATGGGAAGAAACAGGAGATACTGGCTAACAGATTGCTGCTCTACACTAAGGATAAACGATAAAGGTCTACCCTAACAGTTATGGTGGAAGGCAAAGGAAGGATTAATACAAAAGGCAATTCAATTCACTAACCATATTCAGCACTATGGCTCAGATGTCTTGCTCTTGCCCCCAAACTTTCCATCTGTGAATGTAATGGTTAGAGCTTCTGACAAATGGACATGCCAAACAGACATGCAGGGACGAAGTTCAACCTATCAATCACATCAAAGCCTTGGTGTCCTGTGCCTTTTTGTATAAAAGAGAGAGCACGAGCAGAGTTGAACCCTCTTTGGCTCTTCCCCCTCTGCCAGAGCTGGATCTCGAATCTGGTTCATCCACCACCTGGTGTGCTGCCTGATGATCCCAGGACCCATCAAAAGACGACCAACGGTAGATTCATTTGGCTGACTTCAGACCTCTGCATCCACCAGCCTGTGGTATCTCTGCTTCACCATCCTGCTTCCTATTTCTCAGTTTCCATGTGTCAGGAGAAGCCTGACTTGAACTGGATTGGACTGGACTGATCTATTTCTACAACTCTGTAAACCATTTATTGATATAAATCTTTCCATCTATAAGCAAAAAAAAAATCACTAACCACTAACTAAATATACACTACGTACTAAGGACTATAGTAATACACAGTCCATGTCTTCAAACGCTTGACCATTTAGCAGAGAAGGAATAGCACCAAAACAATGAAAAAATGTGACAAGTTCTGTAGTGATGAAAGGAACTATGTTGTTACCTAAGTCCTGAACAGGAAACCAACAGTTTTGCTGGAGATGAAGAAGAAAAGTTAACAAGTGGTATCCTTTGCACAAAGGCCGGCTCCCCAAGTAAGATTTTACTAACAGAGAAAGGAAAATGTAGTAGTGCAATGCAATGAATAACTTGATTAAAAGAAAAAGCACAAAAGTTGCAAGATATGTTCAAGGAATTATAAGTCTCCTTGTAAGTGATGCTCCCAATGCTTTGAGCAGTGCCTACCTCATTGTAGTGCTCAGTCAGTCTTAGCTAAATTAAAGAATCTACAAGTATTTCAATGTAGTTTAAAATAGGAAAAGTGATAAGTGAGGAGGTTGGAAAGGTGGCTGGTGACAAGATAATAAAGAACCTCACACACTAAAGTGTTTCAGCTGAGACTGGGAACCACCTGAGGTCTACAAGGAAGGCCCTAATGCAATCAGAGCTTTATTGTAGAAACAGTTCTTATCGCATTATAGAAATGGCATTAAGATAGTAGCCTCTTAACAGATTATTGGAAAAGTCAGGGTACAGGATTTTATTCTTGCCTTGAATACAAGAAAGAAAAATAAAGAGGAGAAAGAGAAAAGGGGGGGAAGTAAAGAGGTGTTGAAGTGGCATTGGTTAGGTATGAGTTAAATACTCTGTGCTCGGTAGAAGAAATAAGGGATAGATGAAAGGGTGTTGGGGACATGTGTGAAGCAAAAGAAAGTTGCTTAATCCAAAAGAAAGGAACAGGATGGATGAGAAAGATTAAAATGAAACTAAAGAGCCAAAGTACTCAGAACATTCAGAATTCTGTCTGTTAACAAATCTTGGTAGCTCTTTCTATGTAAACCCAGATCCCAAGGGAGCTCCATGATGCTGAGGTATGCACAGACATAGTGAATGGCTGTTATACATCTGTTAGTCTAATTCATGGTATTTATTTCAGGAGTGGGCTAAGAGAGTAAGGAGAGGTTTCTAAAGTCCTGAGTAGTCTAAGGGCTGATAGTCTGCATTACAAAGCACTCCTTTAGCTATTGGAGTCCAAGCTATTAATAAATATAACTTGTTATACACCTCTTTGTATCTAAACCTGTTATGCCACTGATACTCAGGTTAAAAAAAAAAGGTAGTTGATAGCAACACTTAATATGGAAGTTGAGAAAACCAAGTGACAAGACAAAAGCCTAAACTACAACAGGAACGAATAGGAAAAGATTAATAGAAAGGCAGAGATGACACAATCTGATAACATACTATAGAGAGTAGAAAGGAGAGGAGGAATTAAAGGTGTATGGTATTTTAAATTTGGTAACTGGTCATAGTATGGCTCTGTTAACCAAGACAGGGAGCACTAGAGCAGGAGGCAGGGTTGAGGAGAAAATGGGTGCACTCTTGAATTTGAATACACAAGTACTGTGTGTTCAGTTTAAACTGAAGCCAAGCCTTCAGGAATCTTTGGGAGTTATGGCCTGGATGTATAAGAATAGAAACTATTGGGGGAAATGTCACTTAAAGAGTCCTACAAGATGAAAAAGCCAAGGATGGAAACTTAGAGAATACCTACATTTCTCTAAATAAAAAGGATTAGGAAACAGTACAGGAGATTCAGAGCAAACAATAAGAAAAGTAAGTGGAAAGGAGTGAAGATGGCTTATACCTTAACACACAGAAAAACAACCCAATTAAATAATGGGAATAGGATCCACATAGATGGTTCTTCGAAATCATACATTAACGACCAAAGATGCTCAATATCATTAGCCATCAAGGAAATGCAAACCCAAACTATATAGAAATATCATTTAACACCCACTAGGATGGCTCTAATCAAAGAGGGAGAACAAGAAATGGTGGGGATGGTGTGAAGCAAAGCAAACTCTCATCCAGTGCTGGTGGGGAGGTGAAATGGAGTAGCTGCTTTGAAAACCAGTCTGACAAGTCCTCAAATGATTACACTTAGTTACCCTATGACCCTGCAATTGCTCTTCTAGACTCTCGCCACAGTAAACGAAAAGTTATACCCACATACATGTACAGGAATGATCATAGCAGCATTATTTTATAATAGTCCCAAGCTGGAAACCACCCCAATGTCCACCAACCCATTAAGGGACACGTTACTGTGGCATAGCCACACAGTAGAATACCAGTAGAATGAAAAGGAATGCAATACTAATACATCCTATAACGTGGATAAGTCTTGAAAACATTTTGCTATGGGAAAGAATTCAATCACAAAAGAATATCCATAAAAGTCCAAACTAAAGAAATAATAAACTAATGGTTATCTAGAGTTGGTAGCAGGGGGGAAAGAGGAGGATTTGGTGGTTAAGAGGTATGGAGCTTTTTTTTCTAGAAGTAGTGAAAATATTCTAAAAGTGATTGTGGTAATAAGTGCACAATATACTAGACTAAAAGCTTTGGATTGTACACTTTGAAAGTAAGTGAATTATACAACGGGGCTTTAAAAAGTTCTAGGAAAGAAATCACGCATCTTCCCGTGAGCTTTTTGAAGCGATTTTGTATGATAAATTACATCTCAAAATAAGAGAAAAACAATTGCTTAAGTAGGAAGGAAAGGTCAGAGCAAGGCTTTTGAAGGTCAGGTAAGATCTGAATATGTTATCGACGAGCTAAGAGGAGAGCTTGTAGAGAAAAGGGCACAATAAGTAAGCAAGGCCGAGAGGAAATGGCAGCAGGCTCAATTTAGTTGGAGTAGTGATGATGAATAGAAGAAAAAAGGGCAGAAAAGAAAAATGGTAACACCTTTAAGAGTAAGCATGAGTGAAGATACAGATAGATAACTGGAGGTGAAGGAAAGTTGAAAGATAAAACTTGAAACATCTTGTTGTTCAATGAGGTAGAAGTGTCTTCAAACGAACATGAGAGGGTTCAGACCAAACCAAAGCCACTGCCATGTGGTGTGACTCACAGTGACCTTGCAGGATAGGAGAGAACTGCCTCACAGGGTTCTCAAGAGGGACAACCTGCACAGAAAACAGAGCAGCCCTTCCTTCTCCCATGGAGCAGCCGATGGGCTTGAACCATCCATCTTTGGATTAGCAGTCGAGCTCTTGACCTGTGCCACCCGGGTTTTCCTGAGTCAGGGGGAGTGTAAGAGTTCAGAAAATAAAAGTGGGGTGGCGGCGCAGCAGGAAATCTGCCAAGAACAGAAAAAGAAAACAATAGTTAAGTAAAGAGCTTTGAGCAGCTTGAAAGTAGAAATCACAAGTTTTAATAGCGCAAATAAGCATGATTACTGATATTCCCTGTCCAGAGCTTACCAACTGAGATGGCATATAACTGAGCTGTTTTGGGGGTTGAAGGATGCTGAGAATGTAGGTAGAATGCTTGATTCTAAGATGCCCCTGGGTAAGGAAAGGAGGGATGCCAAAGGCACAAGGGCATGTCATAAGAATTTAATGAATGAACCGACATGGAAGATGAAGGAGAAGGAAAATACGGAAGTAAACAAGATTTCCGAATGCAATGATCCAGAAGAACTAACAGATTAATGAACAAATCAGAGTACTTGGGAGAAGGAAGTGAACTATTCAAAGATAAGTTGTAGATGGAAATGCTTCTTAAAGAGCAACCTTGTCATCTTTAAAGTGAGACCCAAGAAAGTTTAATGACTTTGCTGAAACCACAAAGTACAGGCATACCTCAGATATATGGCAGGTTCCAGTCCAGAGTAGTGCAATCAATCAAACACATTTTTTCCCCCAGTGCATATAGAAGTTATGTGTACACTACACTCTAGTCACTTAAGTGCATAGCAGTATTATGGAAAAAGTTTGAAATATTGTGAGGCTTGCTGCAATGTGACACAGGAACATAGAGTACTTGCTATGGGGAAAATGTCACCAACAAATAAATTTGACACAAGGTTGCCCACTTTCAATTTTTACAAAGTGCATGATCTGCCAAGTATAACAAAGTGATGTGCCATGAAATGAGGTATGCCTGTATGAACCCAAGGCTCACAATTACTTTGAACTCCAGGCCCTTCTACTGCACCACAGAACCTCACTAACCTCTGGAGTTTGAAGGCTGTCAGGACATAAAAGTGGTGAGGAGACTCAGGAACACTAAAATTGGTGTGAATTTCCAGGTTGACTTCAGGTGATAGTGGACAAAATGAATGACAGAAGAAGCCAATCTGGGATAAAACATTTGCTCTGGTAATCTACAGAGAGATAATCAAGAGTTGGATGTAGAATGACATAAGCACCGTAAATTATCTACTGCAAGAACATTTTATGCTTCAATATCCTTTCAATATTACTGGATAATATACAGGAGAGGGCATATAAATATATCACAGCTTAAGATTTTAAACATTAGGAGCTTTGCTCATTTTTAAGGTTCTTTTTAAGTTACAGAAATATAAAATACTGAATTAAGTCTGAGGAGGTCTCTTTTAAGGGACTAGATATTTGCCTTACCTTTACTACCTTGTAGTCACACAAGTACTCCACCTCATAATTGTTTAGATTCCTTTTGGTGATTCCAATCGATTTACATGTGAGTTTTTCTTTTCTACATAATTCCTGAAGAGTATCAAGTGAAACTAGGCAAGGCACACACCAAGCTACAATAAGAAAATAGAATTCTTTACTAATGAAATAGCTACTCAATTAAAACAAAAAAGAAAAATGTAAAACTTCTATATCCCCACCCTTCAGCTGACAATTTTACAAGACTAACAATTCATATGACAAGAAACCAATTATGTGTCTTCAATGAAAAGTTTAGCATTAAAGAAATTATTTTGGTAAACTGATCAGAATTTTCTCAGGGGCCTCTATCCTATGTTTAATTGAGGTCGATACATTTTTACTTGGCCACCTGAACAAAATGCTTAACTCTTAGCTTTCTTAAAAGTATATATAGATGCAAAGATCAGCAGACACAATATCTTTGGCTTCTCAGCTACATTCTCTGCCAAATAGAACTGTGTTTTAATGAAACTTAGATCTCTATGACATATACTTGTCCACTATATTCTACATAAAATAAAGCTGCCATCCAAGTTTTACTAAATTTGATTTGTTTGCCAGGGGAAATCCATATTAGTTTCAGAAACATATGTAAGATATACTTTCAAACACAATCTTATAGTTCAGTTTCCTTTTTCTTAACTGGACAATAACTGAAATCCCATTCAAATATAGTTGTATAGTTATAAAATACATGCACGGCATGTCCTATCTTTTTCCCTATGTTGAATGAAGTGTTATTTTTTTATGCAGGTGGCAGTGCTTTAATACCAAGGTGAATAAAACCCAGAACCAAACCAAACTCACTGCCATTGAGTTGATACTAACTCATTGTGACCCTATCTATAGGGCAAGGTAGAACTGCCCCTGTGAGTTTCTGAGACTAGAATTGTCTTGGGGAGGAGAAAGCCTGGCTTTCTCCTGCAAAGTGGCCAGTGGTTTCAAACAGCAGACCTTTCAGACAGCAGCTCAACAGGAAACCATTACACCACCAGGACCCCTAAATAAACCCAAGAATTACGAGGGAGTACCCCAAAAAAAACAGGGGCGGGGGATCTGCTGGCAGAGCTTTCATAGGACGCATTTTCCCGCTAGGCAAGCATCCAGCAACTCACTGAGTGCACCCAGTGGAGTCACCTGGAGTTACCCTCTGGTCAGTGAATGGTTTCATAAAAGCAATTTTGCTTGAACCTTGTTCTTTGTGAGAGCAGATTTAAGACAATGGCATGTGGCTGTGAAATTGTTTCCTTGGTGCTAAGAAAAAATGCCGCAGAAACTGTTGTGATGTTAAACAGTTTACTAGGACAGAGCTACGGGAAAAACTCAAGTGCATGAGTGGTTTTATTTTAAAAATGGTGAAATGTCAAACAAACCTCATTCTGGACGTCCATCACCTTCCCAGGTGGACGAAAATGTCAACTCATAGTGCATTTGGTGTTCACTCAGGTCAGACTGTTAATCAAGCTTTCTATTTAGAGGTTCAGAAAAGATTGAGTAACTGTGTGCATCAAAAAGGCCCGATTTGTGGCTGAAGGAGGACTGGTTTTGCCAGGACAATGCACCTGCTCAAGCAGTGACCTCAGTGCACCAGTTTTTGGCAAAACACTATATGCCTCTCTTGCCCCACACACCTAATTCACCTGACCTCGATCAGTGCGACTTCTTTTTGTTTCCTCGAATGCAGAGGGTCATGAAAGGACAGTGATTTGATGATATGGAAGAGGTGAAGGAAAAAATGAGAGGTACTGTCAGCCATCCAAACAGATGAGTTTGAAAAATGTTTCCAAGAATGGAATAGCAGATTTGACAAATGTATTAAGTATAATGGAGAGTACTTTGAAGGTGCTACGGTTGTTTTGTAAAAAAAATTTAAATACATCGCTTTGAAGAAAAAAAAGGGTTTTTTGGGGGAACCCCTGGTACAGTGAAAATAAACAGTATATAGATTCTTACAATACGAATTGTGACTATTTGAGGTGTTCCTGTATGGTTTTAAAAGCCATAACCAAAAGACCAGGGTATAAATTTACATAATCCATATTGAAAAAATCCAACTTGAACAAAATCATTCAACTTTAAGAAAGCCAAAAGGAACTGTGCTGCATAAAAGTTTACTCTAAATATCTGTAAACAGTAAACTCTCTTACAACATTTAAGATGTTTCATAAACAAGCACTAAACTCAGAGAGGGTCACTGAGTTGGGACTCAATGGCAGTGAATTGAGTATATATAATGTTAAGCACTAGAGGAGATCCAAGGTCCTCTGCTCTGGTCCCTGGTTCTGCCACCTGACTACTGGACTGGACAGGTCTCCTTCTCTACAACTACTCAGATTCACCAACAAGTGTGAGGAGCTGCAGTGAACAGGTTTAGTAAACGGACCCTTTCCTTGGTGGCTCTCCAAAGTAGCTGTGATAACCTCTTGTTTTAAGGTCATTCCAAAGAAGAGGAAAGTCAGCCGCTCTGACTTTAGGGCATATCCTTTCCTCCTCTCCAACCTCCTTTGGAGAGTCACTGTCAAAGACCCTTAAGCACCACTTTCACTAACTGCCTGCAACTAACTCGAAGTTAAGAAGGTGAAAGGCATTTCTCAAAAATAGAAAGAAAGAAAGAAAAAGGGGGAGGTGGGTTGTGGGGTTTTTAGGAGAGGGGGAAAACAGAAACAATGCCTTCAGTCATGTCTACCTAAGAAACTTCAGGACCTTTTGTGTGGTCAGCCCTCCTTTTGTTGGTGGCCTGCGAGAGAGTTGCTGTCCCTACGATCTTTCTCTCTGTAGAGGTGACATGGGGGTTCAAGGCACAACTATTTTTTGGCGAATGAAAAAATAAATGTCATGAAAAAAATAAATATACACCTGACTATCAAAGTGGCAAATATGTGGTAAACAGGCCAACCTTCCCATGCATGGATAGCCATGTGGACAAAACTTTCCACTTCAAGGATTGAACACAAAACCCTCAAACGCGTGTCCACGGACGGCTGTCATTTATAATAGGAGAAACCCGGGAGGGGCAGTGCCTGCACCCGCGCTTCACTTGCAGCACGCGTTTAAAGTTCCAGTTCTCCAAGCGCGCGCTGGCACCCGCCCGCCCTCCGCAGGCCCGCCCGCAGCGTGTCCCCCGCGGCCGCCGCAGGCACAGCGCGCACGTCCACGGCGGCTCTAGAAATTACGTCAAGCGAAAGGATGCCCACTCGCTGGGTGTTTTCCAACGACTTTAACCGCCTGGTGTGTCCAACTGGGGTGGTCCCGCATTTCTGTGCCTTCGTTAGCCCCCTCCCCAATTACTTCGGACCCCCGATAACAGGGTCCAATTTGAAATTCCCACCACCGGCTGTTTCCCGCTTCCCGGCGGAGAGCCCAGCCTCCTCCAAGGTCCCGCCCGCCCGAGCCACCACCACAAAGAAGCCGCGCCGCACCCCCGACGCACACGCGGACCGCCGAGTCCCA